CAGCTCTTAGCTTCTACCACTTGAGGACCATACTCCCAACATCACTGATCTCTGATCTTAATAATACTGCTCAGTGCCTCTTTCATAAATAAACAATAATCTATATCATGAGATATATATATACATATACATATACGTATACGTATATGTATACGTATACATATATATATATATATATATATATATATATATATATATATATATCTGCTTTATACTAAGAGGCCAAGAAACTTTGGCAGGCAGAAAGAATACTACTTTGTGTTACATAAAGCTAATTCTTAGAAACGAATGGGAAATGAGACATTTGTTCATAAAATTTCGATAGTTGGCATGTACAGTTTTAAAAAACAGGCAAAAATTAAAAGGACCTAGGCTCCCTGCACATATGTAGCAGATGGGCAGCTTGGTCTTCATATGGGTCCCCCAACAACTGGAGCTGGGACTCTCCCTGAATTTGTTTCCTGCCTGTGGATTCTGTCCTCCTAACTGGGCCATCTTGTCTAGCCTCAGTGGAAAAGGATGTGTCTAGCTCTGCTATGACTTGATGTGTCAGGTTCTGAGGAAATCCAGGGGGTTCCCCCTTCTCAGAGGAGAAGGGAAGGATACAATGGGGAGAGAGTTATGTGAGGGGGGACTGGGAAAAGGAGGAGGCTGATATTAGAATGTAAAATAAATTAATCAATGAATGGAAAAATCAAAGAGTGTATAACTACAAACATACAAACCATTTTTGCCTAATTTTCAGTGCTACGTCCTAAATGAACATACTAGCAATCCTTGGACATCACAGATCAAAATGGCTACTCACCTCATACGACAAGTCACGCATGACTTACGACCTCCCAGAAACCTAACCAAAGCACTGTTGATGGAAAACCTCGTCTTTCAAACAGTCAGTGAATGAATGGTGTGCATATTATATGTCCTCTGTGTAAACACAAAACCAGATAGACAAACTGCTCCTGGGAGACTACTGTCAAGCAACTCTTCAAACAGAACAGAAAAGAGTATGAGCCCATTGCCACAGCAGCAAGAAGTAGATAAAATTATTACACTATTACAGTGATACTATTGGTAATCGTGACCCTGGTTCAATATCATTGTGCTGGTTATTACCATGGTACAATGTTACTATGGCTAATCATCATGTAACACACTGTTGTAATTGGCTATCCATTATCATGGTACAGTATTATGATGGTCAGTCATTACCACTGTCTGGTGTTGCTACAGCCAGACATAACCATAGCACAGTGTTACTATGTCTAATAAAGACCATGGAAGAGTGTTACTATGTATGTATCATTACTATGATACATTGTCACTATGGCAATTACTACTATGTTTCAGGGTTACTATGACTAATCACTATGATGTAATAAATAGCCTTATGGAAACATTACTATAGTACAGTGTCACCATGAATAAATATTACTATGGTACATTGTACTATGGTAAAGTCATCACTAGGGTTTGGTTTCAGTTTGGTAATGTATTGTCAGTAATCATTACTGTGGTTCAGTAGCACTATGACAATCATTTCCATGGTAGAGTGTTACTATGGAAATTATTGCTATAACACAGTGTCACTGTGGCTAATCATTGTTATAGTACAGTGTTACTATGGCTGACAACTGTCATAGTACAATATTACTAGAGATAATCCCTACTGGATGGCTGTGTCACTATGGCTCATCATTACTAAGTACAGTGTTACTATGGCAACTATTACTATGGTACAATATTGCTATGGTAATCATTACCTTGGAACAGTGCTATTTTGTATGCCATTACTGTGATATGGTATTATTAGTGCTATTACTGTGGTTTTACAATGGATAACTATATGCAGTTGTGATTTATCATTTCATCTTTATGTGTGTTTATATTCCTTCAAGAGGCCTATAGCACCATGTATTGTTATCTCTCTATGCATAAATTGTGATATAATATAGATTAGTTATATTTTTGGTACATGAATTGTTGTAGGAAATGTTAGATATTTATCTGTCTGCATTTTAAATATTCAGTATTGTCTTAGTTAGGGTTTTACTGCTGCGAACAGACACCATGACCAAGGCAACTCTTATAAGGACAACATTTAATTGGGGATGGCTTACTGTTTCAGAGGTTCAGTCTACTATCTTCAAGGTGGGGCCATGGCAGCATCCAGGCAGACATGGTGCAGAAAGAGCTGAGAGTTCTACATCTTGATCTGAAGGCCTCTAGAAGAAGACTGACTCCCACCTGGCTAGGATGAGGAACTCCAAGCATATAGTGACATACTTCCTCCAACAAGGCCACCCCTACCAAGAAGACCACACCACCTAATTATGCCACTCCTTGGGCCAGGCATATTCAAACCACCACAAGCATATAATGTGTTTATACTCCTAGCTCACCTGCTAGATATTTCAGTCTTTAAAAAAAAATCTCCAAAATCCACTTATTAAGTGACAATAATTATTTAAGTGATATTGTTTAACTATACATGCCTGAGTTGAAGATCAAGAACAATTGTATTTGGGTGAATTAGGTTACAAAAAAACAAAAATGAAAATTCAGAAAAATACTTTATAAGGAAAAAATGTAACTAATACATCTGTCCTACTCAGTATCATTCTTTGGCACACGGTACAGTATAAACTCTGATGTGTCTGGAACCGGTGGCTAAGCCACTGACCAGCACCTCATGACATCCAGAAAATGAGTCAGTGTAAGATACAGTGTGGTTTCTACTGAGCGTCATTTCATACGATGGTATGACAAAGTGAGTCAAAGATTGCCTGTAAGCTTACATAACACACTTCCACACATGCACACAATCTGCACATACCCCCTTTCTGGAGAACAAGCTACTTCTAATGAGAATGCCTCAGAGTCAGTTGCAGTTAACATATAACCTCTGAAGATGAGCCTTAGGCTGGGGCTGTGTCTTTAATTATCTGTATAGCCCCAGCAAAAAAAGCTTGGCCATGCTAACCACAAACAAAGCGATGAAAACAACTGTCGTTTTTCTTTAATGATATAGAGGGCAAGACAAAATGAAAAGTGTTTTGTTTAAATATAAGGAAACAAACAAAATTAACCCACCAATTTACCAGGATGTATAGAAAAGAGAACAACACGAATGTCATTCTGATCGCATCTCAGAGATCTGGTCTTGTAATACCAGTTTTAGTCACTGTACATATTTTTCAACTTTTTATTCGTTCTTTAGGAATTTTGGATCATGCATCCCAATCCCACTCATGCCCCCTCCCCTTGTACCCACCCTCCACCCTATAACCTCCTTCCCAACAGAGAAAAAAAATCTCAATTGTAGAAGCTGTAGTGTGTCACAGTGTGTCCCACAGTGTGCCTACCCTTTTGTCCACACTTCTTTGCTTGCATTGAAATGGTCATTTTAATGACTCATTTGTCTGGTTTAAGGCCTCAGGACTCTGCTACACTATCAGTACTGGAACCTCACAGGGACTCCTCTCTGCTATCCTGTTGTTGCCCTGTGTCATGGAGATCTTGTAGTTTTGGATCTCTAGGACTGGCCCCTTAATGCACTTTAGCAGTTCATCAATGAGGTAGATGTTGAAGTGGACCAACTCAAAGCCCTGGATCTGGGCCTGAGAGGTATCTGAGCTGGTCAACCCACCAGCTGTTCCATTATCAAGCCCTCTGACCAGCTCACTCAGGCCCTGCCAACAGGGCCAGCTACCCTGCTGTGCAGGGAAGGTACAGGGCCTGTTCTCCAAAGTGTTGCAGCTGGTGACAGATATGGCCAATTCTCCCACTCTCATGACCCCAGAGCCAGCTCTCTTGCCTGCCATAGATGGCAAGGGATGAGAGAGGTCATGAGAGCATCTGTCCATCATCTTTGACACTGCCCAGTAGACAAGAAGCAGGGCCTATTCTCTCACACTCAAACCTTCAGGGTGCAACCTCCACACACAATACAAGCTCTACTGTTCTCCCCGAGTGAGATGTGATGCCTGCTCTCCCAAGTGCTTGAGCTGGTGAGGAGCAGGATAAGACCCAAGGTGGTGAAGGGCAAGAAGGGTGGATGGTATCTCTCCCTCATCCATGCCATAGCACGAGATGAGTGGTACAGCCTGGTCTCCCACACTCTCATCCTCGGGGACTAGCTCATCTACAACTCCTGCAATGTGCTGGTCACTCTCTCAAGTACTGCAGTTGGCTACTGTGGGGTCAGCTCTTCTGCTTTCATGCCTTCAGGGCCAGCTCTCCCACAATGCCCAGGTGAGGAGTGGGGTCAGTTCTTCACAGCCTTTAGACATTAACATGTCCCCAGGTGGCAAACTAGATTAGGAATACCTGCCTAGCCTTCAGTGGTAACAGATACCTGCTGCTGCAAGTCTATTAACCCAGACATGGGCCCTGGTGGCAGCACAGGCCAGGACCCCACCATGATCCCAGGTGGCATGACTGGCTTCTTACATCAGACTGTTCTTCACTACCGACAAGTCTCCAGTTCTGTCTCTCTTCATTGTACTCACATCCTTCTGATTCTTTCTCTTCAATTTCTCTATCACTTACTTGTTCTTCTTAGTGGTCCCCAAGGTTTCTGAGTGTCTGAGATCATCTCAGGAGTTGTCTCCAGAGTGCCATGCCCCACTCATGCATTATGTCACCAGACTGGGGTCACCACAGACATAGTCTCCTCTGCCGTAGGACTGTTTGATGCCCTACTGATGGTCATCTTGGGCTAGCTCCCTATCCAGGACCCATGGCACTGGTCTAGTGGTCATCTCGGGCTTGCTTCTCACTAGGCCTGTCCATGTGGCCCCATGTGTGGGTCATCTATCTTGGGGTCACTCCCACCCCAAGTCTTCACAGGATTTTTCTAGTCTTTGGCTTGCTCCTAGTCCTGCGATCCATCAGGGCCTACCTACGCAGTGCCAGACTGGTGGTCACTTCAGGATAACTCCCTGTTCGAGCCCCCTGGCACTGGGCTGGTGGTCATCTCAGGCTCGTATTTTTCAGGGAGTGTTAGGCTACCAAGCATTCAGATGTTCTTACGTGAGAACGCTGAGCATAGACGTAGCCTCTCTCCTCTCTGCCACCTACTGGCACACATGTGACATAGCAGCCACACCTGCAATGCCTCTAGGAACAGGAGTCATTGTGTATTTTAATTCTAAGTAACGTAACATAACATTTTATACCACAGTTTCATGGTTATAGTTCCTCCAAGTAATACAGCTAACATTTAGGGGCATTGTTTTACTACGGAATACGGACTCCACAGTTCACTAGACCTAACCGTCACAGTGTGGACTTGGGTTGCCTGCCAGCCAAACCCTGTAGTTATAAGGTGAGAACTCTTTCATTACTAATTGTGGTTGGTTGCTGGATAATTTTGATAAGCAAGTGAATTACAAAAGGTGTGCTTCATGGTGCCAAATTCCTGAAAACATATCCAGAGGTGGTAATTAGAAGGAAAGCTAGCCAGAAAGGCCATTAGGCCTTTGCAAATAATTATCAGCTCTCCTTTGGAATCCATTCATATCTGGGCACTGCCTCTCCTTGCATTTTGAAGAGTAGTTACTATGCTGGACCCGTTGCTAGGTGAGTTTAGACCCAATTGCAGTTTTCTCTTAACTCCCTGTTACAAGGACTGTTAATTTTGGTTCCCAGAGATTTCCCTCCTTTAGAAGCACAACAGTCTAGTGTGGTCCACAGAGATGTGTGAGAAGGCACAAACAACCCAGGAGACGATCCTCATGTTTCTCAGCAACCTCCAGCTCCATCTTGCCAAGGACTGTGAAATCCTGAAAGCTGTTTTCTCGATTGTTTGCCATCCTGGAGCATACATGTGACGTTAGTTGCAAACATGGAAGCAGGTACAGCGTTGGTGTGATCATTGTTGGTTTTCAGACTCAGAAAAGTACTCAGGATTAAGTTGGCTGAGAATTAGTGTGAGAATCATTGCTTACTAAAGCCATCAGGCAGGCATTTGCCAATGTCACTCAAAATACAAGCTCAACACTAGAAACAAAGCTCGACTGAAATTAATAGACACAATACAAGTAATCTTGAAATATAAGTCTTTAAAAGATTTATATTATGTTTCCTCGTTCCATCTCTCTGTGATCACATAAATACTACTGTCGTTTACTATCTACTAATTGCCAGTGGTAACATTCAAGGGAAGATTCATTGTCTCAACAGATACTAATATCATTAAGATGTTCCTGAGATTATCTTTAATTGAGATATTTGTCTGAGATAGGTAAAAACACAGAGGAGATCAGGTTGCACACAGCATCATGGAAAGACATTTTAAATTAGCAGTCAAGACATTTGGAGTTTTAAGCCTGAATCATTAGCACACCATTGCCTGGTTTTCAAGCTAGGAATGCCAGGTCAGCCATTTTCCCCACCTACATTCATTTTAAATGTCTCACTAAATTATAGAAAACCATGAATAAAAAGGATGGAACATGGATTTCATAAAAATATGGTCCCAATCCTATATAAAGATACAACAGCATGGGCCTCTGCCCCTCTGCCAGTGTGGGTTTAGATCCACCATCTCCTCTTCTTGGTCTGTGTGTGGACGCAACCTTTTTTAATCCTAAACACTGTGGTTTTATCATCATAGAACAAAACATGGTTTTCCACCTATTCTGCCAATCTTGTTCCGACTTTTAAAATATGTGTCCCTGTAGGATGTAAGTCATTGAATAATCTTGGAGTCGGCTCTGCCATCTTCCCGGGTCCTGTACTAAGTCGTTCCATAAGATTTTGGCTCATACTCATTTTGGATAAAAGTCATGTTGCTTTGTGGGGTATGGCCAGCTGAATCAAGTCACGTGTCCCAGTGCAGAGACACTGGTCTCACTTTGAAAAGCACACTTGTACTTTGGAAACTCAACAGCTTTATACAAAGTCAGACAAAATGCAAAAGAGATGACAGGTTGCTATGAAAATTATGTCTTTGCATTCCCTTCTTGCCAAGCCCTAAGGTGATGTAGGGAAGAAAAGGTCCTAAGACTGACTTTGCCCATCTCTGAAATGGGTATAATTCTCTTATTATGGATTTTTTTCCTATATTAGTAATCAGGTAAACCAGCTACAGAGAGCTTTCTGAACCTTCTATTTGAGAGCTTGTTTCTAGTGTTTTCTCTCTCGGGGACCGTAATTGCTCATCTCCCATGTCATTTTAATAGAGATGTCCCAATGTCAGTCAATATTAAATATATTAAAGTAAAGAATTCTTTCATTCTCTTTGCTATGACCTGCTCATTAGTGGACAAACCATATCTCTCTCTCTCTCTCTCTCTCTCTCTCTCTCTCTCCTCTCCTCTCCTCTCCTCTCCTCTCCTCTCCTCTCCTCTCTCTGCCCTTTCTCCTCTCTCTCCTCTCCTCCTCCTCCTCCTCCTCCTCCTCCTCCTCCTC